TTAGGGGAATTTGGACCCCCAAAACGTGTTGACTGACTTCTCTTGTAATTTATGGGAAGCTAGATGCGAGACGAGAGTGGCTTTTCTCGTGAACTGTTTACTACACTCGGTGCATGAAAATGGCTTTTCTCCCGTGTGTGACCTCTGGTGCGAAATAAGGCTTCCTTTTCGGGTAAACCGTTTGCCGCACTCAAGGCAAGAATACTGGCGGTCGCTCATGTGAATGACCTGATGTACAGCTAGATGGGACTTATCAGTGTAGCATTTCCCGCATTCAGAACACGAGAACGGACGCTCTCCCGTGTGAGTCCTCTGGTGGGAAATTAGAGTCTTGCTATGGGTGAAGCTTTTCCCACATTCTGAACAGGAGAATGGCTTCTGTGCCGCATGAGTCCTCTGGTGGGAACGGAGACCTTGTCTCTGCGTAAAACACTTCCCGCACTTAGAACATGAGTACGGTTTCTCGGCTGTGTGAGAGTTCTCTGGTGGGATATAAGGTTTCCTCTCTGGGAAAAAGACTTCCCACATTCTGGACATGAAAACGGTTTCTCTCCTGTATGTATTCTTTGGTGTGTGAGAAGATTGACCTTCTCTGTAAAACATTTCCCACACTCCAGACAGATATAAGGCTTTTCCCCCGTGTGAAGTTTCTTGTGTTTGAGAAGAGACGTCTTCCGGGAAAAACATTTCCCGCACTCAGGACATGAATGTGGCTTCTCCCCTGTGTGAGTTGTCTGGTGCACCAGCAGTTTGGATCTGGAGACAAAACATTTACCACACTCAGAACATAGGTACATCTTAGCCCCTGTACGGGCTCGGCCATCAAAATGACACCCCCCAATCGATGAAGCATCCAAAGCAACATCTCCATTGTTAACTACAGGATGGAGATTAAGAAAAATAATGTTTTCTACTGGAGAACTGGATGGGATGTCACCATCTTCTGCGTCGTCTTCAGGAGATAAAATAGAAGTATGCTGCATGGTGTACCTTTGGTATCGTCCACCTGGAGAAATTGAAAACAAGGAGAGGAAGCAGGAATGGTTTTATACTTATCTTTAGGAAAGAGATAAATACTGAAATGTTATGTCTTTCTTGTCTTTCTTTTTTTTAGGCTACACTGGAATCTAACTTTTTAGACTAGAATAGAATTTACCAACTGCACAAAAAATGGCAACCGTCCCAACCTAGAACCAGCCTTAGAAGCAAGGTGGACATGGAAGGGCAACACACATCGCAAACAAACAAAGGATTTCCCAGCAACACTTACCAGCCAGCCTGCAAAACAACCAATGTGGCCCTGTCTAATGGTTTGCCTTAAAAACAAAGTGTTTTGTTTGCACACATTTGCAAATACATGCATAATCCACAGTTCCCCGTCAAGGGTCTTTTGTTTACTGTGGACCTATCTCTAAAATTTCCAGAGCCTTCATAGTAGGAGCACATATATCAATGGATAGGTTAAGGGCAGGTGTACCTGGGGGAGCCAAACCCTCCTTTAAGGTACAGGGACGCACGTGACGCCCAGCTATACCAAAATGACAGCAAAGGCATCCAGTGCATCCAAATTAACCAACAGCACAAAAGATGGCAACTGTCCCAACCTACAACCAGCCTTAGCAGTAAGGTGCACATGGAAGGGCAACACACATCGAAACAAACAAAGAATTTCACAGTAACACTTACCAGCCAGCCTGCAAAACAACCAATTTAGTCTAAAAGTGATCAGAGGACTCTTAATACAGCACTGAGCGAACTATTGGCGCTATATAAATACTGTATAATAATAATAATGTGGGACTGTGGCTTCCGCATGTATCTGCAAATGCAGATACATGCGTAAGCCACAGTCCCACGTCAAGGGTCCTCTATATACTGTGGACCTAACTAAAATTTCCACAGCCTTCATAGTAGGAGCAAATGTATAAATGTATAAATGGATAGGTTAGGGGCAGGCATGCCTGGAGGAGCCCATCCCTCCTTAAAGATACAGGGACGTACATGACACCCAGCTATACCAAACTGACAGCAAAGGCATCCAGTGCGTCCCTGCATCTAATTTAGCCAACTGCACAAAAAATGGCAACTGTCCCGACCTACAACCAGCCTTGGAAGCAAGGTGCACATGGAAGGGCAACACACATCACAAACAAACAAAGGATTTCCCAGCAACACTTACCAGCCAGCCTGAAAAACAACCAATTTAGTCTAAAAAGTTTGCGTTAAAAACAGAGGGTTTTAGTTTGCACACATTTGCAGATACATGCGTAAGCCACAGTTCCGCGTCAAGGATCCTCTGTATACTGTGGACCTAATTAAAATTTCCAGACCCTCCATAGTATCATGGTGGTGATCAGGACACTGGTATTATTATTATTATTATTATACAGGATTTATATAGCGCCAACAGTTTGCGCAGCGCTTTACAATATAAGGGAGACAGTACAATTACAATACATTTCAGTACAGAAGGAATGTGAGGGCCCGGCTCGTGGAGCTTACAATCTAAAGGAAGGGGGAGGTGATACAAAAGGTGATGGCTGGTGGAGGTGATTCAAGTACAGGCTCGTGGAGGTGGGGTAGGCTTCCCTGAAGAAGTGAGTTTTCAAAGATTGCCTAAAGGCAGACAGGGTGGGGGCTGCCTGAACATGCTGTGGTAGGGAGTTCCAGAGGATGGGAGAGGCTCTGGAGAAGTCCTGGAGCGTGGGAGGAGGTGATGAGGGAGCTAGAGAGGAAGATATCATGAGAGGATTGGAGTGGGCAATTTGGGCAGTATCTGTGGATGAGGTTGGCAATGGTATGGGGTATGGTGGTGATCAGGACACTGGTATGGGGTATGGCAGTGATCAGGACGCTGGTATGGGGTATGGCGGTGATCAGGATGCTAGTATGGGGTATGGCGGTGATCAGAACACTAGTATGAGGTATGGCGGTGATCAGGGTGCTGGTATGGTGTATGCTGGTGCATAGAGCACTGGTTTGGCATACAGTGGTGATCGTGGCGCTGGTATGGGGTATAGCAGTTACAGTGAGGAACAGAAGTATTTGAACACCCAGCGATTTTGCAAGTTCTCCCACTTAGAAATCATGGAGGGGTCTGAAATTCACATTGTAGGTGCATTCCCACTCTGAGAGACAGAATTTAAAAAACAAATTCAGGAAATCACATTGTAATAATTTTTAAAGAATTTATTTGTCTTGCACTGCTGAACATAAGTATTTGAACACCTAAGAAACAGCAAGAATTCTGGCTCTCAAAGACCTGTTACTGTGCCTTTAAAAAGTCCACCTCTACTTCACTCATTAATCTAACTTAGCAGCACCTGTCTGAGCTCTTTAAAGACACCTGTCCACCCCACAGTCAGTCAGATGCCAACTACTACCATGGGCAAGACAGAAGAGCTGTCAAAAAAGACACCAGAGACAAAATTGTGGACCTCCACAAGGCTGGAAAGGGCTACGGGGCAATTGCCAAGCAGCTTGGTGAAAATAGATCAACTGTTGGAGCAATTGTTAGAAAATGGAAGAGGCTAAAGACGACTGTCAGTCTCCCTCGGACTGGGGCTCCATGCAAGATCTCACCTCGTGGGGTATCACTGATGATAAGAAAGGTGAGGAATCAGCCCAGAACTACAAGGGAGGAGCTGGTCAATGACATGAAGAGAGCTGGGACCACAGTTTCAAAGGTCACTGTCGGTAGAACACTACGCCGTCATGGTTTCAAATCATGCATTGCACGGAAGGTTCCCCTGCTCAAGTCATCACATGTCCAGGCCCGTCTGAAGTTTGCCAATGACCATCTGGATGATCCAGAGGAGGCATGGGAGAAAGTCATGTGGTCAGATGAGACCAAAGTAGAACATTTTGGTTTAAACTTCACTCGTCGTGTTTGGAGGAAAAAGAAGGATGAGTTGCTTCCCAAGAACACCATCCCTACTGTGAAGCATGGGGGTGGTAACATCATGCTTTGGGGTGCTTTTCTGCGAAGGGGACAGGCTGACTGCACTGTATTAAGGAGAGGATGAATGGGGCCATTTATTGTGAGATTTTGAGCAACAACCTCCTTCACTCAGTCACAGCATTGAAGATGGTTCGTGGCTGGGTCTTCCAACATGACAACGACCTGAAGCACACAGCCAGGATAACCAAGGAGTGGCACCGTAAGAAGCATATCAAGGTTCTGGAGTGGCCTAGCCAGTCTCCAGACCTAAATCCAATAGAACATCTTTGGACGGAGCTGAAACTCCGTGTTGCTCAGCAAGAACCCCCAAACCTGACAGATCTAGAGGATATCTGTGTGGAGGAGTGGGCCAAAATCCCTGGCTTCTTCTCCTCTCCCTCCTGCTGGCAGCTGCTGCAGAGAGAGCCATACAGGGGATCGGTTCCAGTAATTGTCCTCCCGCCGCACCCATCACCCTCCTTCCTTTCCTTTCCAACTGAGAGCACACAATAAGATCCTTAAGGATGAAGATTGGAGGGAAGGGCCCAGAAAATATGTTACCAGCCCTTTGTTTTCTGAAGGAACACAATGAGTGATCAGTACTGATCACTCACTGTGTTCATTCCTAACTGAAGCCTAGTAAACTGTTTTGTTTTTTTAAGGGGGAGGGCCCTGTCAGGTTGGCTGTATGGGGCCCCGTGGTTTCTATCAGCAGCCCTGGTTGTAGGTTTTGGGTTAAGAGGGCTGATCTGTGAGGGGTCACCAAATTAGGTTCACACCACCTGCCGAGAAAAACATTCTGTTTTCCCCGTGGTTAGTGATCGCCGCTGCTGGCAAAGAAAGGAGGGCCGTGCCTTGCGTTTTTACAATTCAAGGCGCCATTTCCCTGTTTTTTTTAGCTGCCATGCAAGGTTGCAAAGAGCCCTGCGGAAGGGGTGTACAAAAATGTATCCATGCTGCATTATTCTGAAAAACGTGCTGCCCTGCAGCTCACAACTGCGACAAAGTGCAAAAGAGGCACAGAGAAAACCGGCCCTTAGTATTCTATTACTCACCTGTGCAGATCTCTGGAGAAATTTCCTCCTCCTTACATATACCATCGTGGCTCATAACCATCTCTTCTGCTTCCTCTTTCACTTCAACTTTAACAACAAATACATTTTCACACTGAATGATACAAAAAGAAACACAAACAGTACATTTTACCGATTAGGAATGATATAAAGGAATCGCAAGTTCAGCGAGAGAGACAAACATCTGGGTAGAGCAAGGAACAAGTGACAGGAAAAGGTCCAAATATACTGACAAGCAGAGCCGGAGCAAGGGGTGGGCAAGAGGGGCAGCTGCCCTGGGCACAGTGGGGATTTGGGGCATTGTGCTAGAAGGGGTGATTTGGAGGAAGGATTTGTACTAGGAGGGTGGATTTCTTTTAGGAAGGGGGATTTGGGAGGTAGGATTTGTGCTAGGAGAGGAGATTTGGGGGAGATTAATGCTGAGAGAGTGACATTTTGGAAGGGGGAGGAGGGGATTTATGCTCAGAGGAGAAATTTGAGGGGTAGAGGATTTGTGCAGTTTGGGGAGGGAGAGGATTTGAACTGGGAGGGGGAATTTGTACTGGAAGAGGGGGAATTTTTGTTTAGGAAGAATTTTGGCTTGCAAAGGAAATTTATGCTAAGATGGTAAGTGTGAAGATTAGTACTTTTTTTGGAGGAGAGGGAGGGGATTTTTACTGACAAATAATGCTCATACATTTGGGTTAGGGGTGGGGGGTGGGGGTGGGAGCGCCGTTTGGCATCTTCGCCCTGGTCGCTAGATAACCTTGTCTCTTCGCTACTGACAAGTAGAGTAACAGTGCAAGTACATACAGTCCTGGGAGTTCAA